TTAATTTGATATAGGGGTTTAGGTATCTACAGCTTAAACCGAACGCGCTACATCGCTTGGACGTGAGACACCCCTGAAGGTATACGGTAACCTTAAACTCCCTAAAGTCTCTGAGCTGCTCACTGCGTGAAATGAGCAATTTCGTGGAATTTACGGGACCGTGGTATTCCACGACACTCGGCGAATCGTAGATCGGAACGCGACGTGTTAGGGAGCGTGACGTGTCATAGCGTGTCATATTCCTGACACGTATGTCGCGGCGTGTCAGGACAAATCATGGCCTGGGTACGTCAAGTGTGGCGTGTCAAGGGAAATCAGGGTATTGATGCTTAACGGCACGTTTTAAGTGAATCAGCCAAATTACTTCATTTTTAAAGCTCATTTTTGGGGCACCAGAACTGGAATCTGGGGACTTATTTAGGTTTGTTTGTTTCATTTCCAAATTTCACATTTAACGAGATGCGCATGCTTGTCTACACTGTTAGCTCTTACAGATCATAACCGCGCTGTTATAGTCTGTAAAACGCCACCATGTCGACGTACCACTATTCTGTTTGCTTTTATATTTGCGATTTAAACCTCGAGGTCATTGAAAAATTCTAACCGAACAAAACTGCGAGTTATCGTTTTCCACTTTGGTACAGTCAACCGGAAAATTCTGTTCCATTCGCTTCAGGAAATGTCTGGATATTCACACCGGAATTTTGTATCAAATGGAAAGCGCCCTTGGTGTGATAGAACACCCAATCAATTTTGAGGGATCTTAAAAAAAAACTCAAATGACTTGATTTGTGAGAACTTTTTCAATTTACATCTATAATTGACAAATTTGTCGCAAGCGCATTGTAAAAACGCACAATAATGCCACTGTTGTTTTTCTTACTCACTTGTAGGTGAAGCCGCAGGGATATGTCGTTACCAATATGCTTATATCGACTTTGGGGACGTGCTCAAATATTCTGGAACAATTTTTTCCCCCGATTATCCCGTCCCTTACCCTGATGATGCATATTGCGAATGGAGATTCCTTTCTCCTATTGGTAAACGAATGACGTTAAAGTTTGTGGATTTTGAACTTAGAGGAAGTTCCATGAATGATGTTCACAATGATTGCAATTATGACATGGACCATATTTCTATAGATCGCCATTTGCGGTCATATTATTGGAGCATGTATTGTGGGAACCAGACGACCTTTGAGGTTTATTCCACCGGTATTGAAATGCATGTTAGATTTCGTGCCGTCTCCGTTGGTGTGCGAGGAAAAAGAGGTTTCAAAGCACATTTTGAAGCTGTCGATCCGCGTGACTTGACAGGTATTTGGGCCGTCTTGCTACTTACAGTACTTGGTCTACGTTCTTTTATTTCTTAGTTTGTGTAACTCTTTGAATGCCATATACGCCTTCTTTCCGAGCGAAAGACGTAAGATTTTTAACTCGGGAATTTCAGTATTTTCGAAGACGACCAGATCATATCGAAACACGTCCGAAGATTTCCGAGAACGTTTTGAAGATTTCCAAAGATGTTCCAAACATTTCCAGGTCCCAGTGGATGAGTTCCCCTAACCAGAAGCAAGTTGCCAGTGCGTTTCCCTTCTGAGAGGGTCTGTACAGGGTTTCAGTAGCTGACAGCTGAGAATTGGTTAAAATTTTAACTGTAGTTGAGAAGGATACGTTTCATAAACGCATAGTTGAAATCGAAGATCTGCAAAATTTACTGGTTGCTGAGATGCACATGTGGGCTTCAAACTGAACTGATAGCCGAGAAATCGCCGAAAATTTAATTAACAGATTCCAGCCCGAGATACAGACCTCCTCTAAAATAGGAGAGTTTGGGGACTGTCATTTACCTGAACGATTGTCTTCTAGTTTCTGGTTGAAGTTTACCGATTTTTCGCCAGTGTGGTACATAAGGAACTCATCTATTTTGTCATGGCTATTTTTCGTAACTTGCGGTCGCATCTTAGTTTTAAGTGTGAGATCTAGATCGAAAGTTGTTACACAGCAGGCGTGGCGACTTTTTGGTATAGAATATGTCAATGCTGTTCACGCATTTTCTCCTTTCTTAACCAGATTACCTTCATCTATGCCCCAAAATGCACGCAGTAACGAAATTAGCAGATTTGACGAAATTTCGCCACGTTGAGTCAATGTTCATGGATTTGACGATTTTGGCGAATTTTAGTCAAAAGTGTCGAAGTGAAATCAGCTTGGCCAGAATTGTGAAAGGCACCTCATAAGATACCGTCCTAACATGACATGTTAGTGGATTTGAGGATTTTTGCGACCTTTCGCCAGCCATCTCATTGGATACGGTCCTCACATATTGGTCCCAAGTTTCGTCAAGTCTGCCAATTTCGTATAGAAATTTCGTCAAATATGCCATTTTTGTTACTGCATACATTTCCGGACATGTCTCATTACCACTGACGATATTCTTTTGGGGGTCGCTACCTTTATATAGTCTCTTTTATAAATATCAATAATAGCTTTTTACAGTCTCTTCCATAAATATCAAGAGGTTTAACGAGTGATTTAAATTTATCACATATATACTTGTTTTCAGTTTTCGATGAGGAGTTGTGTCTCCCAGGAAACACCAACAATCTAAACCTAAAGTTAACTGGTTCGCATGGAACTCTACAAAGCCCAGTAGAACAGTACATCCCAGGGCTTCTTTGTGAATGGCTTATCACTGTACCAGAGGGGAAGCTCGTGGAACTCAGCTTTGACAGATTTAAACTGCCTCCGGAAAGCGAATCGATAGGATGCCTCTACGATTCGGTACAGGTTTATGATGGAGATCACAAAAGCGGTGATTCGTTAGGAATTTACTGTGATAATGCAGTTCCAGAACCCTTGAAGTCAAGCGGTCGTTACATGTGGGTTCGTTTCATATCGGACGCTGGATACGATTCAAAATATCCGGGGTTTAAAGCCACATTCAACGCTGTGGATAAACAAGTTAAAAGTTAGTTAAATGTGTTTAAGAGTAGGTATGATACCATATCATTTTCAGAAATAATGGTCCCAAGCCTGGAAGAGAACCTTAATTTGATTGAATTTTGGTCTGAGCACAGTCCTGAATTAGGCGCATGGCTTAGTTCAAAAGGGCTGTCCTTCCAAATTCTTGTTCCCATCTTCATTTCAGTTAAACTCAGCAATTGCGATTAGAGAACTCAAACTCCTGCTAGTTGACAGACCAGACTTCCTTGAGTGTCGCACAGGGTGCAGAAAAAGGTTTTCCACTCTAGTCTGTTCCCAGCTCTGTAGTCACCAACTCACTACAAAGTTAACTCTACCAATCAAAATTATTTCTGTCCTTCTCCACCATTCTCGGCCACTTCTTTCTGGGTATTTAGCGTGATCTTGCGTTTCCCTTGCTTAATGGTATACTTACGGTATGGGATAAAATCCGCCATCGTTCTAGACTGCTGTCTCTTTATCAGAATGAAAAATTGTGATTCAGTTTTCCTTTAAGTTCAAATCGACAAGAATTAAGAGGAAACTGCAGTATCGAAAGTTTTGTGGCCTCTGTCATCTCTGTAGTTCAGTCTCTTTTAATTGACTGTACGTTTTAATTCAAAGTGATTTCTTTTGCTAATTGTGTCGTTTGTCCTATTTTGTATTTAGACAGTTTGGCGATAATAGTTGGCACCGTATGCGGTGTGATATTCCTCGTGATTGTAGTGGTCTGCATTGGTGTTTGTCGTGCAAAACGAAAGAAGGCGCCCAACACTGTAGCGGGTGTCGGAATCCCAATGTCGACAATTGCAACTTCAGCATCTCACACCACACAGCCTGGAGAGGTTGAAGATTTGCCTGAACCAGCAGGAAACCAATATCCGTACCCACTTCCCCCAGTGGGGTCTACTCCAGACTCCAGAAGCCCAGCAGTATCATCTTCAAATCCAAATCCAGAAGAATCACCACCACCCTACCCTGGAGAAGAAAGTGTCCCACAGTACCTACCTCCGGGTGAATTATATCCATGGCAACAGAGTGGTAACAGTACTTAAACTCCCGAGGGTCAATAGAGTGGTTTATTCAATTTCTGTCTCATCTAACTCCAGAGAATGCCACGAAGATGAATGGCAAGAGACTGTTGCGATCCAAGGCTAGTAGTTGTAACATTTCAGCCAAATCTCGTAATTACGCAACTAATTAGCATTCAATTATGAAGACGTCCTTCTTTTAGCCCAAAGTGTGTGGAGATTTCCGTGTAGTGTAGTATCTCAAGTACAACAAACGACAACCTTATTTTCACTGCAAATAGTAAAGATATACACAAAAATCAGTATGCCTGCCACTGAAAGCAGCAGTGACAGGCTATTCGAGGTGGAGGCAGGCCAAGTATTGTTGAAATTTAACCCTATGTAGCCCGGTCTCTCGTTTCCTTCGTAAGCTTATATTATTGTTGAGTGTGAGTTAGAAACTGTTTTAACTAGTAATAGACTAAACTTTTCATAGTTTTTTGGGGGAAGCGGTTGTATCTGTGTGATATCACTGCCCGTGAAATGCTGTGGTTCTCATAGCATTAGAAATAGAACAAAAAGTACATATAATAGCTATATACTTAAATACAGATTCAGAAAAAAAGACTATTATATGGGTATATAGATTGAAACTCAGTTTCCAATTCAGATCGACCCTTTTTTAAGCAAGACACCTTTGGCACTGGAAACGTATGCCCATTAGCAGAGAGTAATGTGTACAGAAACAGACAGCGATATAGATAAACCAACAAGTGTGGACTGATAAACAAACAAGTGTGAACTGATAAACCAACAAGTTTGGATTGATAAGCCAACAAGAGTTAGTGTGGACTGACAAACCAACAAGTGTGGACTGATAGACAAACAAGTGTGGACTGATAAACCAACAAGTGTGGGCTGATAAACCAACAAGTGTGGACTCGATGCATTTGAGCCAAGAGAGGATGAAAAGTAAGAGAGGTAATCAAGGTAACCTCTCTCAAATTAGTTTTACATCACTCCCGGCTTCAAAACTTCCAGAGTTCTGAAATTGTAGCCAATCCTGTAACGTGAACTTGTACTCACGTGGACAGACCAGTCAGGTTTACACACAGTATCATCCTCCGCAAAAACATCTAAACGACGGCGTGGTGACGTTCTCGGGGAACTGTATACCAGATCTAAAAACAACAGGAGAGGCGCTACCTTAAACATAAGGACCTATTTGTGGGATTAACTTAACCTTCATGCTCTCTTAACTATACATATACAGATATCGATATACATAAACACAATTCTGAGTATGGACTTTTTGTATTTTTATATATAATCATGATCTTAGAACACGATCATTATATGCAATATTTTTTT